CCATTCAAGTTGAACTGTTAGATATACATGCAGTATAGTCTAATTCCAGATGGAACAAAATTTGTTAGTCAACTGATTTTGTTATTTGTCCCATATAGTGTTTGATATATTTGACTGTGTTAAACTCTTCTGCGATCTCTCGCCCTGTAACACTTATTAGCGTTGTTGTAGTAGCTGAAGATTATATTTATTGTTTTCTTTATTTGCTGAAAGCATGGCAAGAGTTTTGACTTAAAAATGTTCTGGAGAATCCATATGTGATGGGATACAAAGGTGTTTGACTCTACTTAACAAAAATACTTAATAAAATTGAGATTATATATGCTTAAATTTTAAATTTTCACAGTGTTAGACAATGAAATACAGACGGTTCATAGGTCTGGGTCCCTCTCCTAAGTTCTTGGTTTCATTGACCTCAGTGACACCTTAAAACATAGATGAGGACAAGTACAGATAATATAAGTGTACGTTTATCATTCTTTTTATGTTAAAGAAATCTTGGAAGATCCGGAGTCTTTATGCGGTTTACATAATTATTTTTATTAATTATGCTTATGTTTCTTTGTTTTGTTTTTCATTGTCGGAAACAAGAGGTTTGTTAGGCTTACCGAGATTCTTTCCTAGGCCCACGACAGACCTCAGTATGCATCTTATCTCCCAGGTGCTCGTTTACTGCTTATATTTACTGATGGTTGCTTCAGTAAAGTTGCATCAGGTGTAGGGAAAGGTGACCAGACGTCTCCGTCATATTTGGGAATCGAACCTGGGTTTTTTTCAGTTGTGAGCCCACTGCGCTGACCTCTTCGCAATGTCTGTCTTCAATGATAAGAATGTTACAGTTTGATTATAAACTGTTTGAGCTGGTAAAAAAGATATCAAGTTGGAGATGAAGGTATTTAGAGCAGTGTTTGCAATAACCTTGAACGCTTCGAGTAGAGCTAACATTGCAACTCGTAAGGTTGATGCCTGATTATTGATTAACAGTTCTCTAAATTTTATTGCGATTTGGTCTAAATAAAATTACTTCACTTCTCATCCTGCACGTTCCCAAACTGATAGAGTCGTCAGTGTCTCTAGTCTATGATAAGATCTGTATGATAAGTTTATTGGCGGGGTATCGGCCTGTTGAGGGAAACTGCTACAGTTCCTTTAACTCTGTACAACAAGTGCAATCCAATCATTTTAATGTGAGCAGCTGTTCTTTGAATTCATACAAAGAACAAACAAAGAATCGCTAGTTTCATTGCGAATGTGTTTTAATAATTATATTGATCCGATGTTATTTTCATTACCCCAAACACAAGTTGTTGATTTATTACAAAAAAATCATCTCTATTGCGAGAGAACACACACACAGTTGTTTTCGCATATTGAGAAATCTGGTTGTTGTTAGAAGGCGAGAACAATTCTCTTGGATTCATTTTACCTTTTTACAAGTTTATCAATTTCGTGGCAATTCCTTCTTTTTTATTAATTTATTTAATGGAGATTGAAATTTACGAAAATTCTTATTCTAGAATTGTGTTGGTGCTCTTGTTGGCTACGGCTGCTCGGACTGTGAGGCCAGCATCCTTCACTAGCTTGGAGGAGTTGTGTCCGATAGTGCTGCAGGTCTCCTAGTTGTCTGGGGGTCGGCGGCTATTCCCGACTTTCTGTCCAATCTGGGTGTTAGCGCAAGTTTGCCGTTAAGTTTGCTAGCTGCTGTAGCATGTCTGTTCTCGCCTAACACTATATATCACTATATGCACATAACAACAGTTTATTGTTTAGTAGCATGACAATACTTTCTCCTTTAGAGCCATTGTCCAATAATGTTTATTTAATTTACCATGAGGTCCACTGGTTAGACCCGTTAGACTTGGACTTTGCAACTTCATTTAATGGAACATTTGTTCATAAAATATTTTTAGTAATTAGATCCACCAACAGTGTTCTGTTGTTTTAATATTCTTTGAATTCTAAACATAAAAATACACCATATACTTAAAATTAAAAAATAGTAGGAAACATGCTTATATTTTTCCTATATTCAATATTGACAGAAATGTAAATATTTATAATATCTCCATATATAAAAGCAACATTCACTTGCCCGTGCACACTATTTGGTCGAGTCGTTCCCAGTGAATATATATATACGAAACTTGGCTCTAACTCCAGCAACAACAACACGCCCATATCATGTTTTCTTCGTTTCATTTAAAAATACATACATAATATCGCTAAATATACCTTACTAAATAGTTGCTTCCCCCAATTATTTTACCGACGCCTATAGCCGCATAATTTGAATAACAAAAAGTGTAAATATCGTCACAATAATAAGTCAACAAAGCCTAAGTAAACAGTAAGGGTAAATATCAAGAGGACAAGTATATCCGTTGTTCAGGGTTATTATATATCCTCCTATATTCTGCTCAGTAAGGTGCAGCCGCTTAGTTAGCGTAGCTTCTTCACGGTCAAGTGAGTCATGCATGGATGTAATATTTAGAGGCATTCAAATAGGAAGCTTCAGGCAGCAGGTATGTGTGGATACTGCATGCTTCTAGGATTCATGTGTATCGCTCTCGATGGGTTAAGTGAATCAGTGTAGGTTTTGACACAAAACGGTAAATGCGTCATGTTGTTGTTGTTTTAGATTCAGCTACTGGGAACAAAAGTTCCAGGTAGCACGGGCTACGGTGAGCCCGTTGTGGACTTACCTGATACCTGGTTAATACCTGGTTGATGGGGTTCTGGGAGTTCTTCTACTCCCCAAGCCCGGCCCGGGGTCAGACTTGACTTGTGAGAGTTTGGCACAGGAGCGAGGCTGTAACTGAAAATGCGTCAATCTTTAATGATTTTAATATAAAGTGATGATTGATGAAGATTAAGCCACCCAAGAAGTGGCACGGGCATGAGTTGTCCGTACGTTATTTAAAGATTGATTGATTGGTGAAGAATAAGCCACCACAAGAAGTGACACGGACATGAGTAGCCCGTAGGTGGTAGATGTTTGGAGGGAATGTGGTGTTTGGTCGTGTAACATCTTAAAGTGTCTCTGGGCCTGTCGTGTAAGGATGTTGTTGTTTTAAATTTCAGTCCCGAGTTTTTTGAAACTCGGGACTAAAGTGTCCATGTAGCACAGGGCTTTGGTGAGCCCGTAACATAGAAGGATCTTGTTGTTTTAGATTCAGCTACCCGGAAATTGTTTTTCATGTAGCACGGGCTATAGTGAGCCCGTAATTGAGTTCGGGTATTCACGATAACCTTGTTACTCTGATATGTGGGTCAAAGTTTTAAATGAAGGTAGAGTTTCCTTCTTTTCGAACAGTTTTTAGTCTTATGTTTTAAATAACATTATCTTGGTGGCGGATATAGATGCACAGTGTTCACTAGTGAGTCTCATTCTTCAACTGCTTTTTTAACCATTGTAGTCGCTGTGGATTTTGCATTTAATGCAGCTGCTCTTATTGGTTGAGTGTTGAGTTTGATGCGCAGGGCTTCAGTTGTTTCATATTTCAGTACGTAATGTAATAGAGGCATTTCTGCATCCGTTCCACAGATATGACACTCTTTATGTATTGAGGTTATTACCTCCCAGCAGCACTTGTAACCAAGTCTGAGTCTGTGTATGGCTACTGCAATGTCTCTGGATAGGTTTTTGCCAGGCTTGAGAGAGTAGTATCCAGTGGTTTGTTGGTACCACATCGCAGTCGATCTGCCTTCCGCTACTTTGGCTCTGTAGCAACTTTTGATAGTTGGGAGTATTTTCTTCTTGATTTTCTCCTTAATCTGTGAGAAACTTGGAGGTATTTTTACCTCTACAACAGTTAAAGCAGTGACAATTTTTGCAAGTGAATCTGCCTTTTCATGAACACTTTTAAGGACAACAGGCTGGCTTTAATACTCAAATGAAGTAAGGCGGAGAAAGTACTAAGCTAATGTGATTATACATTGAAATGAACAGTTTAAAGATTTGCAAGTTCATTGGCTTTACTAGTGTAAGTAATGTAATCCATTGTATAATTAGCAAGAAACCACTACGACAGTAGAATACAATGCGTTTTACTGACATCTGTAAGGATTATAACCAGATAATACAAAGACAATGAAAAGACAACACAAATGTATCGTCAGCACAAAATATCACGAACGTCGATAAATAGTTAACTGAAAGCTTCTGAAAGATAACTTGACTGTTGACCTTGCCTTAGCTATCGGAGAGACCAGCGTCTTCCGCAGCAGCGAAGGCGATCTGCTCCACGAAGAAGTCGGGGATTGGGTGGGGGAACTCAGGAGCCACTGGCAGCAGGTCAGACTGGAGCTGGTAGCCGTTCTCGTCGGCGACTAACTTCACAACGACGTCACTAGCAGCAGGGCTGCATGAACACTAAATTGTGGATTGAATTAGCACAATTACTGAAAATCAATGTCAACTGCATAATACATTTGAATCTTCCATGAATTCTTTAAGATAATGAGAATGAAAAACGTACACCTATGTTAACTCTCCTTGTCACCTATATTTGAATGTGTCATTGAGGTAAATGAAGCCATGAACCTACGAGAGGGACCCAGACCTGTGACATGACTGTATTTCATTGCAAAACACTGTGCAAATGTAAAATTTAAGCATATATAATCTTCATTTTATAAATGTCCACAGTTTACACTAACATTATATCAATTTATAACCGAGTCTAGTCAGAAAAGCTTCTGATTGTATAAACATAACGTTTCTTGTAATTAAATAATTTTTTTGTACAGTTTTTATCATTGCTTGGTATTGGAGAAAGTAAGCTCAGTTGAAGGTCAGTGTCACCTATTGGACGTTCTCGAGGGAAGGGCATTCCTCTCGTTATATACAAAAACTATAACTGGGAAGATGTGAAGTCATTACCGACGTTATACACAAGGTCGTGGAAAAACCTGATCTTAACCGTAAGTGAAGCAAATCTGGCAACTGTGTCTCCTGCTGCCGCTATAAATGGGATGTTCACTGCTGCTACTGAACCACACCTTCACAGTCAACCAACATGAAGACTGTAAGTGTATGATGGTGATATCTTAACTCTGGATATTGAGAGAGATAAAGCTTTAAGACGCGAGGTCATAATGTCTCTTAATTTCTGTGAAAAATACGTACATAGATAATGCTAACCAAATTATATATACACATATATATATATATATATATATATATATATATATATATATATATATATATATATATATATATATATATATATATATATATATATATGGGAAAAAGTTTAAACACAACAGCATTGTGATTGAAGTTGATTTTTTTATAGATATTTTACGTAAAATACCTTTTACTATTTAGAGGGTAAAGAAACACTAAACCATTTAATCGTTTAACTATATTTCTAAGCATTAAGTCAGCCATGTGATATCTTGAGGAATGCACTAGACACTTTATTATCAAGTTAAAGCTTACATGCAGAAACATACATATATATATAAGTGTGGGGTTCACCTCGCCCTACGATTCATCTAATTACCTTAATGGAAGGGAGTTCCGAAGGATCGGGTTGATTGATACCTGACTCCAGCTTCTTGTTTATCTAGAGGGACGATAGCAGACCCCGGTTGACAATAGCCTTAAAAATTAAATGCTGACCTCAAGCCTGACTTTGCAGTTTTCAGTAAATTCATGTTATCGATCCTACAGGTTATTTTCGCCGTCGTTGTGGCCGTGGCCGCCGCCGCCCCCCAGTACGGCGCCCCTCAGGCTCCTACCCGCTACGGTGGCTCCAGCGAGGAGGTGCCCATTATCAGGCACGATTTTGTGCAGGGGGATTATGGCGGCTACAAACTTGACGTGGAGACTGGCAACGGCATCGTGGTGTCAGAAGCTGGCGCTCCAGGAGCCTCTGGCGCCATCGCCAGCTCTGGCTCTTACTCGTAAGTTCATGATTGAGTTTTATTAAATGAGAATTTACAGCGTTGTCCATGTGTGGAAGACTTTCTAAAATAATATACAAAAACAGTTTTATACTCAGGAATGTTATCTTCCCCTCAGCTACACTGCTCCTGACGGCACTCCCGTCCTCGTTAAGTTCGTCGCCGACGAGAACGGCTACCAGCCCCAGTCTGACCTGCTGCCAGTGGCTCCTGCCTTCCCCCACCCAATCCCCCAGTTCGTGCTGGACCAGATCGCCTTCGCTGCTGCTGAAGACGCTGCTGCCGCCCGCGGCAAGACCTCTGGTCCCTCCGCCAGCTATGGTCCTCCCCAGTAACTTGCTAATTAATGAGACGCTCGTCCGTAAAGTTAACAGTTAAGACATCTTTGGAAACGCTCCGTGAACTATTTATGACCGTTAATGGTAATTTTGTAAGTTAAATAAATATGTTTTGAACTCTATTGATGTCTATTTCTTGGTTCTATGCAATCATGAGGTTATCTTGAGATGATTTCGGGAGCGTCCCCGCGACCCGGTTCGACCAGGCCACCTTTTTGTTACACATCCCCAGGAAGCAGTCCGTAGCAGCTGTCTATCTCCCAGGTATATATTTACTTCTAGCTGAACAGGTGCATCAGGTTGAAAGAAATTCTGCCTATTTGTTTCCGCCTCCACCGGGGGTCGAACCCGGAACTTTAGGACTACGAACCCCAAAAGCTGTCCATTCAGCCGTCAAGCCCCCCCAGTCAATAATAAACATTTTACAGTAACAGACACGCTACAGATATTTTAGCTCCAAATTTACTTAATTATTACACACAGAAATCACAATTGCGTGATGAGTCGATTAAGGCAGCGTCTGGGATGCTTTCGGACGCAGGTTCGAATCCTCGTCACGGCCCTTGTGGATTTCTTCAGTGGGTGATCAACATTGCAAACATAACTATATGCCCTGAAAGTTGCCATAAATTATGCATTTGAGAATAATATACATGATGTCATCATTCATACCGACGCTAAATCTTCGCTCCAGGCATTGTTATCCAGCAGGCGCAGATATAATATACAACCCATTACAGAAATCCTACATAAAGGAAAAGAAGCACACGATCTAGGGCTGCCAATCGCCCTAAATTGGACACCAGGTTACATTGGCATAGATGGTAATAAAAAGGCAGACTCACTAGCAAAAACTGCCACTGTTTTACCTGTTGTACAGGTTAAAATACCTCAAAGTTTTTCACGGGTTAAGGAGTAAATCAAGAAGAAAATACTCCCAACTACTAAATGTCGCCACAGAGCCAAAGTAGCGGAAGACAGACCCACTGCGATGTGGAACAAACAAGCCTCTGGGTACTCCTCTCTCAAGCCTGACAAAAAGATATCCAGAGGCATTGCAGTAGCCATACACAGACTCAGACTTGGTTACAAGTGCTGCTGGGAGGTAATAATCCCAATAGTTAAAGAGTGTCATATGTGTGGAACAGAAGCAGAGGCGCCACTATTACATTACTTACTGGAATGTGAAACAACTGAAGCCTTGCGCATCAAACTCAACATTCAACCAATAACTGCAGCTGCATTAAGATGCAAAATCCCCAGCGACAACAATGGTTAGAAAAGCAGTTGAAGAATGGGACACACTAGTGAACACTGTGCATCTATATTCGCCACCAAGATAATGTTATTAAAGCAAGACTAATGTGCTAGTCACCAGTGTGCAAGTCACCAGTGTGCTAGTCACCAGTGTGCTAGCACCAATGTGCAAGTCACCAGTGTGCTAGCACCAGTGTGCTAAAACTAGCGGAAATGAAACGGAAGAAAAGGAGGAAACCCCCACCTCCATTTAAAACTTTGACCAACAGCAATAAGGTTATCGCGCAACCCATCCTCTTAAAAATAACGTCACTTTTCGCTCGTATGCGCGCTATGGCCAAATTTGGACGTAACTTGAAATGAAATCGACTCACAAAAGTGACGTACTGTTCCGTTTTCTGTTTGAGCCGTCCGTCTTACTCGGCCAGCTTAGAAAAGGAAACTTTCCATTGACTTTTTCATAACGTTTTGAAACTTTATGAGAATTTCCTGCCCACCTAACCTATCAGAGGACCCTTAACTTACTGTTGTTGAAAAAAAAATCCCAATTTTATTTTCTTTTTTTTTTCATTTTCAAATTACGTCCATATTCGGCCATACGGGCAAACGGCCAAAAGCGACGTTCTTTTTAAGAGGACAGGTTGTATCGCGATCAAACTCATTTACTGGCTCACTATAGCCCTGCTACATGGACATTTCGTTCTGAGTAGCCTAAATCTAAAATAACAACAACAACATCCTCCCTTCTTAGTTACGGGCTATTCATGCTCGTGCCACCTCTTGGGTGGCTTAATCTCTATCACTCAATCTCCCTTCTGATACACGACTTAATAATCACGAGATAATACACGAGAACGCACTTCCTGGCTCAGTATGCAAGGCCCGATTTGCCTAACAGGCAGAATGATTTTAGTTATTTTAAAATATATCTTTTCAATTTGGTTTATTGAGGAATTTCATTGAAAATATTAGGAAATTACGGAATTATTGTATACTTAATATTACATTCTTGTTTCTTTTTCAAACTAAAGAAAGTATTACGAGCAAATTGGCTACCTTCATCAATAAATGATTTAGGGTATTTTAAATTGAACACTTGAATATATATAGGGCACTAATTTCATTATCTATGAACTCAGTACTACGTATCCCTAGTCCTCAGATACATACAATAAGATACAGCTTGTTTTAATCTTTGATGATGAGATGAGTAAAAGTAGACAGAAGACAAACATTTGTTGGTTTTCTATATACACTAGACAAAACTCGAAATTAATTTCACATTTATACATTAACATACCTAAGTACATATCTATGAATTGCAATGTTCAGTTCTCACTGCAAAAATAATGGATAGGGAACTTCTAATAAGAATGCTTACAGGTTTCTGTTCTTAGGCCATAAGCAAAATACATCATAAACATGACGAAACCTTGTGTCTTTAGGAAAAAAATTCAACTTAAAAGATATATTTCACAGAACTCCATATATCCATATATATATATATATATATATATATATATATATATATATATATATATATATATATATATATATATATATATATATATATATATATATATAACTGAAAACTCACACCCCAGAAGTGACTCGAACCCATACTCCCAGGAGCCACGCAACTGGTATGTACAAGACGCCTTAATCCACTTGACCATCACGACCGGACAAAATGAGGTGATAGCCGAGGCTATCGGCTATTTCGTGTGAGTTTTCAGTTGCATATTGTCCTGGGGACCATTCAGGCTTGTTCGCATTTGTGTTCCTCACGTGTGCCCCAAAGAATGAGGTGATTTGGTAAAATGCTATGCCCAAGATTACTATCCGAGTGCCGGCGGTGGGGTGGTTCAAATAGCCTCGGCTATCACCTCATTTTGTCCGGTCGTGATGGTCAAGTGGATTAAGGCGTCTTGTACATACCAGTTGCGTGGCTCCTGGGAGTATGGGTTCGAGTCACTTCTGGGGTGTGAGTTTTCAGTTGCATATTGTCCTGGGGACCATTCAGGCTTGTTCGCATTTGTGTTCCTCACGTGTGCCCCAAAGAATGAGGTGATTTGGTAAAATGCTATGCCCAAGATTACTATCCGAGTGCCGGCGGTGGGGTGGTTCAAATAGCCTCGGCTATCACCTCATTTTGTCCGGTCGTGATGGTCAAGTGGATTAAGGCGTCTTGTACATACCAGTTGCGTGGCTCCTGGGAGTATGGGTTCGAGTCACTTCTGGGGTGTGAGTTTTCAGTTGCATATTGTCCTGGGGACCATTCAGGCTTGTTCGCATTTGTGTTCCTCACGTGTGCCCCAAAGAATGAGGTGATTTGGTAAAATGCTATGCCCAAGATTACTATCCGAGTGCCGGCGGTGGGGTGGTTCAAATAGCCTCGGCTATCACCTCATTTTGTCCGGTCGTGATGGTCAAGTGGATTAAGGCGTCTTGTACATACCAGTTGCGTGGCTCCTGGGAGTATGGGTTCGAGTCACTTCTGGGGTGTGAGTTTTCAGTTGCATATTGTCCTGGGGACCATTCAGGCTTGTTCGCATATATATATATATATATATATATATATATATATATATATATATATATATATATATATATATATATATATATATATATATATATATATATATATATATATATATTAGTATATTTTAGTAGCAGTCTTTCCTGTAGACATATATTATTAAATATGACCGAAAAAGTAAGATTAATAATTCTAACACGAATTTTCTCTATCTTTCGTACATTTCTTTTCACTGTTGGTGGTAATTCAAAAATCAATTCTCCAAAATTCATTTTTATTTCTAGTCTGACACGACACTTGAGCGCGTTTCGTAAAACTTATTACATTTTCAAAGACTTTAGTTTACACATACACAACTGAATAGAACTTACACATCTCCGATTTGTTTATATCTACATTTGAGTGAGGTGGATGGGGTGAGGTGGCATTAATAGGGTATTAATTTCATCAACACAAGACAGAACACGAAACAATGGGTATTGAATGGAAGTGATTGTAGAAAGCCTATTGGTCCATATTTCTTGATGCTTCTATATTGGAGCGGAGTCTTGAGGTGGGTAGAATATAGTTGTGCATTAATTGGCTGTTGATTGCTGGTGTTGACTTTTTAATGTGTAGTGCCTCGCAAACGTCAAGCCGCCTGCTATCGCTGTATCTATCGATGATTTCTGTGTTGTTTACTAGGATTTCTCTGGCGATGGTTTGGTTGTGGGAAGAGATTATATGTTCCTTAATGGAGCCCTGTTGCTTATGCATCGTTAAACGCCTAGAAAGAGATGTTGTTGTCTTGCCTATATACTGGGTTTTTTGGAGCTTACAGTCCCCAAGAGGGCATTTGAAGGCATAGACGACGTTGGTCTCTTTTAAAGCGTTCTGCTTTGTGTCTGGAGAGTTTCTCATGAGTAGGCTGGCCGTTTTTCTGGTTTTATAGTAAATCGTCAGTTGTATCCTCTGATTTTTGTCTGTAGGGATAACGTTTCTATTAACAATATCTTTCAGGACCCTTTCCTCCGTTTTATGAGCTGTGGAAAAGAAGTTCCTGTAAAATAGTCTAATAGGGGGTATAGGTGTTGTGTTAGTTGTCTCTTCAGAGGTTGCATGGCGTTTCACTTTCCTTCTTATGATGTCTTCGACGAAACCATTGGAGAAGCCGTTGTTGACTAGGACCTGCCTTACCCTACAGAGTTCTTCGTCGACTTGCTTCCATTCTGAGCTGTGGCTGAGAGCACGGTCGACATATGCGTTAACAACACTCCTTTTGTACCTGTCTGGGCAGTCGCTGTTGGCATTTAGGCACATTCCTATGTTCGTTTCCTTAGTGTAGAC